TGCACATTCTGTGAACATGTTACAAAAGATAGTGTTCATTGCATTTCAGTTTCCTTTATGATGACCATCAGCAAAAATATTTGCTCATTCTTTGTAGGAACATTTACATTTTTTTTTTTTTTGAAAAATTGGTTCTTTTAAGGTTATGAACACTGAGTGATATAACTGTCTAGGCTTCTCTTTTCCAGTTGTCTGACTTATAGTCCAATTTTTGATCATCCGTAGCATTAAATTGTATTTTTTTAAGTCCTCATTCCTGGATCTTATATTTATCTTTACTTTCCTCACCTTCCCTTTTTTTTAAAATTTAAATTGCAGTTATTTAACATACAGTGTAATATTAGTTTCAGGTGCTTTTTTACTTTTATTCTTTACTCCCACTCTGATGGTGCTATGTAGAATGCAGAATAAAGATAAATAAATAATACATCTTATGGAAAGTAGTAGCTTTAGGAGAGTGGGTAGCTTTAAGAAAAGTGATGATGTCCCACCCAACCTTATGTCAATTAAAATCTGACCTCTTAGGGTGCCTGGATAACTCAGTGGATTAAGCATCTGACTCTTGATTTTGGCTCAGGTCATGATCTCGTGGTTCATGGGTTCAAGCCCCACTTCAGGTTCTGTGATTACAGTGCAGAGCCTTCTTGGGATTCTTTCTCTCTCCCTCTCTCTCTGCCTCTCCCCCCCACCCCAAATAAATAAATAAACATAAAATAAAATAAAATCTGAGCTCCAGAAGTGGAGCCAGCCATCTGTAACTAAAAAAGAAAAAAAGAAAAAAAAATCCCCCCAGGTGATTCTGACGTGCAGAGGATTGAGAACTGGTCTAGAACAAAGGTTGCATGTGTGCAAAAGACAGATCTACTTAATGTAGCATTATTTGTAATAGAAATGAGAAACAACTTAAATGTCCATCAGTAGGGGAAAAGACACATACTTGTAGAATATTCTGTTAAAATGAAGGAAATAGACCCATATATATCATCAAGAGCAGAACTCAAAAGCATTGAATGAAAATTCAAGTTTCAGAATAGAATAGGAGAACATTTACTCAAAATTTAGAAAACACATAACAATGCTATGTACCATTCATGGGTACATATATATTGTAGTAAAAATGTAAAAACATGGGATTAGAATCCTACACAGCAATTTCATGATAGTGGTTGCATTTGGGGAAAATTTGGAAATGGGGCCACAAAGGGAGCAGAGATATCTTCAATCATTCTATATTCTTTTATTTCTTTAACCAAAATTAAAATACCTGAAAAATGACAAAATGTTGTGCTTTATTATTTTGTCATAGCATCCAGGTTTTTAAAAAATAGTCAATTATTGGGGCGTCTGGGTGGCTCAGTCGGTTAAGCGTCTGACTTTGGCTCAGGTCATGATCTCGTGGTTCTTGAGTTTGGGCCCCGTGTCAGGCTCCGTGCTGACAGTTCAGAGCCTGGAGCCTGCTTCAGATTCCGTGTCTCCCTCTCTCTCTGCCCCTCCCCCACTGACACTCTGTCTCTCAAAAATAATAAACATTAAAAAAAAAATTTTTAATAGTTATTCAATAGTAATTGCAAGCCTTTGAGATGGATATTTTGAAGTCCTGTGCTAGCTACCTTTAAGTACTGAAGTAACAGTCCATAATTATTTCAGTTTTCAAAATATTTTTGAAATCTGAATCACAACACATTGAAATGCACTTATTATCTACTGCATTTAAATGTTAGCATATACTTAATTTAGAATGTATAGAGGTAACGTGGTAGCAAAGAGTTCTACAAATGAGTTGTTCTTAAAGGTTCCAGATGCAGAAATGAGATTCATGTGTTTGAGGAACAGAAAGGAGGCCTGTGATGTGGAAGCAGAGTAAACGACAGGCAGAGTGGCTTATAATACGTTTGGAGAGGCCAGCAGGGAGCATGGTAATAAGTGCAGGTGTTATTCTAAGGAAGAGCCTTTGGAGCGTTTGAAGCTGGAGAGTGATACATTCTGACTCATGCTTTCTAAGTGGGTCACCTTGGCTGCTGTGTGAAGACACTCAGAGAAGGATGGCAAAAATGGGATAGAGGAGATTGGTTGACAGCTGTTGCCCTGGTCCACCTGGGAGGTGGTCCGGGGAACATGGGCCGGGGGGTGGAGATAGTGAGAAATAAGAATCTTTAGAATGTGTTTCAGAAGTAGAGCTGGTAGGAGTTCCTTCCTGGTGGATGAAGGATAAGGCAGACAGAGGAATCAGAATGAATCCTAGATTTCTTATTGATCAATCAAATGGGTGATGGTCTCATTTACTGAAATTCTGGAGACATGGGGAGAAAGCATTGAGATGGGGCAATTAAGAGTTAAAGTTAGGGTTAGAGTAGGAACTCTTTATTCACTACTAACTCCAATCCACCCCCTAGACCCCTCCACTAACACTGTTCCTAATCACAATCCCTGGTTCCCTTTCATAAGGGTCCCTTTTCTGTCTCCTCCTTGACTTCTCAATAGTAGTCAAGACTTATAACCACTCCCTCATTCTTAAAACATTTAAAATACAGTATCTGACTCTAGGGAGCTTGTACATCGAGGTGTTTTCATTTTGATGTGATCATGTCCCAGCAACAAGGTCCAGTCTCTCTGTCCTGTAAGATCTGGTTATTAATTGCCTGCACAGACATGCTGTCACCCTGGAGAGTCAGCTGCCATACCCCAAATGCCTTTGAATTTCAGAGTGAATAACATTGGTTTAGAAGTTCGATCTCTTTCTGGTCTAAGCTACACTGTATCAACCCACATGGAAATCTATCTCCATTTCTTGCTTTTGCAGGAAGTGAAAAATGTATCACTTAAAGTCTTTGGGCTTTGCCGCAGATTTGAGGGGAATGGTAAAGATCTACATTGTAGAAATGTAAATAGCTAAAGAATCAATTATTAAATATCTCTTTATTTTATTTTTTTTAATGTTTTTTTCATTTTTGACAGAGAGAGAGACAGAGCATGAGTGGGGGAGGGGCAGAGAGAGAGGGAGATACAGAATCCGAAGCAGGCTCCAGGCTCTGAGCTGTCAGCACAGAGCCTGACGCGGGGCTCGAACTCACGCCATGAGATCATGACCTGAGCCAAAGTTGGACACTCAACCGACGGAGCCACCCAGGCTCCCCTAGATAGTTCTTTTTAAAAATCCCTTGGCTGTTTTTGAAATTCAGACAGCAGTATTCTGTCAAATTGCCCTGGCTTGCTTTTTGTACTCCCTTTTCTCATTTTTTCAGAAGAAAAAAAAATTCCCCTATTTTCTTATCATTAAAATTTGACTTCATCCAGCCCCAATGCTTTGCATATCCAAGAATAGATTGCCAGGTTGAGGGGTGGAACCTGTACCCCTCTCATTGGTTTTTCCTTGTAATCCCAGCCCAGCTTCTGTGTCTTTTCCAGAAATCCCCCAGTGTCTCAGCCCCTAATGATACCTTTCCCCATCTACTGGTATTCTGGATTTATTCCCATTGTTCTATATCTGCTGCCGTTTCTGTGGAATCGGAGGAAGAGAACAAAAAGTAAATGTGTGGTGTGGGCTTTTGAGGCAGAAGCTGTTCTCCATCGTAAGTGTCCTATGACCCAGCAATTCCATTTCTAGGGAGAGATCCTGCGGCCAGTCCTCGTCCCCAAAGGTGACCAAAACAGTGTCTGCCATCACACACGTTCTTCTGTAGTGTGACTGTGCCAGGCCCCCATGAAGGGCACTTAGCCTTCGTTCCTTCTACTCTGGAAAATAAAAATCAACCTTTTTTTTTTTAGCTGATGAAGGGTGAGGTAATACACCTGCTTTTTGGAAAATGAAATAGGCCCTCTACATAGTGCTTTAAAAATCCTTAAACGGGGCACTTGTGATGAGCACCAGGTGTTGTGTGTAGGTGTTGAATTGCTAAATTCTACACCTGAAACGAATATTACCCTGTTTGTTAACTAATTGGAATTTAAATAAAAACTTGGGGGAAATTAAAAATAAAAAAACCTTTAAAGGAAAGCAGTAACTTCCCTATTCAAGCCTGCAGCCACGATTTATAAACACCTAAATTTGATTTCCACAGAACCTATTCTTCAGGGAGATCTCGGGGCCATAATGACAAAAAATGATATCAGCAAAGTGTATCAGCACGTGATGGATCTCAAAGTGGCAAAATGCCCCTGTGCTAACGATGTAGCGTTACTTGGCTTCATTTTGAATGAAACCTACAACGGTAAGTCCGTTGGCTGTGTTGAAAGTTAGATGTGGGTTTTGTGTTTTATAACAGCAGTGTTTAACTGGCAGTGCAAGTTAGACTCAACGGAGTCAAAACATTTCCTAAAAATACCTGCGAATTTACTCTTTGTCACTTCCCCTTATCAACTTGCAAGTGTGATCAACTACTTTTACTCTGTGACTTTTGGTCATGTTCATCGTGACTGTAGTGTCTCTCCTAATTTCACTTACCCCCTGATTTCTATTAATATGTTATTTCCTCTTAGAGGTGACTCCTTGTGTAAAATGGGAATCATGTTCTAAGGCATCATAACATTACTTCATTTATTATGTAGGTGCTTTTAGATTCCTACTGTAGTATTTAAAAGCATCCTACTCCGTTTCAACTTTTTTTTAATGTTTATTTTTGAGAGAGAGAGAGAGAGAGAGAGAGAGAGAGAGAGAGAGAGAGAATGAGTGGGGAAGGGGCAGAAGGAGAGGGAGACACAGAATCTGAAGCAGGCTCTGAGCTGTCAGCACAGACCCTGACGTGGGGCTTGAACTCACGAGCTGTAAGATCATGACATGAGCTGAAGTCAGACACTTAACCGACTGAGCCACCCAGGCACCTCATCATTTCAACTTCTAATGTATTATGATAGTTGTTTTTCCTAGATCATCGGTGACCTTCTAGTCCCCAAACCCAATGAATGAAAAGGAAAATAAAAGAATTAAAAGAAACAAAATATTATTACTCACAAATAATATGGGCACCCTAAAATCCAAACTAAAATCCTCGAATCCAACTCACCATCCATGTGGATGACTGACGTAATACTCAACGGCCAGACGTCATTTCCTCCAATGATCTTCCCCCATCGCACTTCTGTGGCCATATTCTGGACCTCATCATCTCCCCTAATGTTGGTACCTGTGGAGTCTCTACCATGAGCAACTCACACTGTCCACGCCCCCTCCCCTCACGTTCTTACCACCTCTTCTAGTGCTCCCACTCTGGCGCTCCTTCGATTTCACTGAGACTTCAGTGTCTTGTCCCTACCACCTTCTCCACTTCCCAACACCCTTGGTTTTCTCTCTCCCCTCCCCCATAATTTGCATAGCCCACCCTTACAGATCCTTCTGTAGCTGCCCTGCCCTGCTCTGTCTTCCATTCCCCGAGCAGTGCCAACTCCGGTTAAAACCACCTCTAGTCCTGCCCTGAGACAGCGGAATGTTGCTAGAGAAGACACTGCACGCCAGTCTCCCTTTCGCATTCCACCGACCGCTCTCACTTTAAATTCCCGATCCCAAGTCTCAAGTGGGCCCTCAGCACCACCCAGAAACCCTGTCCCTCTTCGCTGGTATGTTTATTTTCCGATTCCGCCAAGTGGCCTTATCTCACACCTCTTCCCACACCTCAAACCCTCCACGTCACCCCCTTCCCCTTTCCACTCTCAGCTGTGCCTTTATCTAATATTTCATATAGAAAACCAAGATCGACCACAAGGCACTCCTTCGTCGCTGCACCTGCAAACCTGCCGTTCTACCCGCATTGGTGCTTGTGAGCCTTGCCTTCTCGCCTGTTGCGTTGCGAGAAGCATCTCTGCCCAGACTCCACCTGTCGAAGGCCACCACCCCCAACCTTTGTGTTCTGGATCCCATTCCCTGCGACCATCTGAAGCACCTTGCTCCTGCTGCCTCTCTGCTGCAAATGCCACCTTTCCCTCTGCATCGTCCGCTCTCTCTCCTTGCTGGATTGGGTCCATTGGCGTACAGACAAACCCTCCTTTGTTTGGGAGCATCCTAGCTGTTTTTCTGTTCTCCTTCAAAGCAAAATTTGGGCAAAGAACTTATTGTAGATGGTGCTTTGTTGTCCCACCTCCCGCTTTGTCTTCATTCCGCTAGAGATGAGTGTTTGGTACCCGCCAGTCTTGTGAAACGTTTCTTCCCAAGACCATTCCTGATTTCCATATTGTCAGTTCCAGCCACCCGTTCTTCTTCTTTTTTTTAATGTTTATTTTTTATTTTTACTTTTTTACATTTATTTATTTTTGAGAAACAGAGTGAGACAAAGTGTGAGCGGAGGAGGGGCAGAGAGAGAAGGAGACACAGAATCCAAAGCAGGCTCCAGGCTCTGAGCTGTCAGCACAGAGCCCGACGCCGGGCTCAAACCACAAACCGTGAGATCATGACCCGAGCCAAAGTCAGACGCTCAACCGACTGAGCCACCCAGGTGCCCCAATGTTTGTTTATTTTTGAGAGAGAAAGAGAGTGCAAGCGGGGCTGACAGCACAGAGCTTGACACGGGGTTCAAACTCACGAGTGGTGAGATCATGGCCTGAGCTGAAGATGGACACTTAACCAACTGAGCCACCCAGGCGTCCCCAGCCGCCAATTCTTTATCCTCATTCTACTTTCCTTCCCAGCAGCACTGGACACAGCTGGCCACTCTGTCTTCAAAACACTTTATCCTCTTGGCTTTCTCGGTATCACCTTTGATTGCTTTTATCTGACCACATTGGTCATTCCTTAGTTTTCCAGACAGACTCCTCTTTGGTGTGTCCCCTCAAGTAGTTGTCAAACTCAGGGCTTTGTCCTTGACTCTCCTTCCTTAGGGAGCCACGTCTCTCTCTTTGAAAAACTTAACCCAGTCCTATGGTTTAAGTGCCGTCTCCAGGCCAGTGATTCTCAAACCTATATTTCTGGTGCTGAGCGCTCCGTGGAGACCAAACTCCTCTATGCAATTGTCTATAGTTTACATTTCCTCCTGATGTCTACTGAGCATCTCAAATACAGTAACTCTGATCTAGAACTCTTGACTCATCTCCCTCTGAAATCTCTTCTTCTCCAGTATTCCTTATCCCAATTCATGTGGAGTTGCTCCAAGCTAAAGTCTAGAACACATTCTTGACTGCCCTTACTCTCATGACATTCCAGGATGGTGCCATACCCAGTGTGTATCCCCAGTGTGACCACTTCTTTCCTCTGCTAAAGTCTTAAGTCAACGTTGGTTTTCCACAAGACTAATTCATAGCTTCTTAAGTGGTCTCCCTCTTTGTATTCTTGCCCCAGTACAACCCATCTTCCATACAGCCACCAGAGTGGTCTTCTCAAGTATAAACCAAATCACATCACTTCCCTGCCTCAGACATGCAGAGGCTTCCCTTATGGCCAGTAGAATAAAATCCAAACTCTTCACAATGGTCCACATCAGCTTCTGTAACCCTGGAGTACAGTCGTGGTCGTTTGTTATACAGAGTGGCTTTGTAACTTAATTTGAGCCTCAAAGTATTAACCAGAACAAGACATTTGTTTTCCTACTTACCCTTCTATTGAATATTTCTAAACTTTGCAGGGCCCTGGTCATGTGATATCATACTGGACACCGCTGATCATCCCTACTTAGAATATAGGATAGTGTTATCTGTGGAACGAGACTTAGAGCTCAGAATGGCAACACACGTCATTAGCTTTTTCTCTCTCTGGAAAAAGTATATGGTGACAACACTTCCTGCTACATCTTTCCCTACACAGAAAAGAGCTGAGAGTGGAAATATACACTTCACCACATGAGTGGTCCTACATTCGTCTTTGGGAAACAGAGCACATGTGTTAGATCATCAACCATCTTCAGGCTCTCCCACCACCCTCAATAATTATGCCTGTTGACTAGATTTCAGGTTAATATTCCACATTTAAAGCAAAAGACTCTCAACACTCCTACGCATGGCCAAAGAAAAGTGAGATCAAAGTATTTGCAGTGTGTTCAGTCTTCTTTTACGAGGTTCTCATGAGGCATAAGCAAATACTTTTTCTATTTTTTTAAAAATCACAAATAGTAACGTAAATCAAACATAGTTTCTTCCTCTTGGAATTTTAACTTCCTTCTTGGAGTTGTAAAACTATTGACTAAGATTGTATTTCTGAACTAGGAATGTACTTATGCTTACAAAAATACCATCAGGGAAGAAAAAAACCCTCTTCCTCTACTCTCTTATGTCTAGTGAATGAGGGCTGTGAATTAAATTAACAAAGGCAGATTATCAGGAAAAAAAGGCACACATTTTAAATTAATATTTGCATTCACAGGAGCACCTGGGTGGCTCAGTTGGTTAAGCAACCGACTTTGGCTCAGGTCATGATCGCGCGGTTCACAAGTTTGAGCCCCGTGTCGGGGGTCTGTGCTGACAACTCAGAGCCTGGAGCCTGCTTCAGATTCTGTTGTCTCCCTCTCTTTCTTCCCCTCCCCCCTCACACTCTGTCTCTTTCTCTCTCTCTCTCAAAAATAAACATTAAAAAATATTTACATCCACAGAGTTAACTTAAAAGCAGTGAAGCTCAAATAAGTGGTTAAACTTGGGGGCATATATACCATTTTAACAAAAGAAAGAAGGTTGGGCTTCAGGGGATGATAAAGTATGGGGAAGAGACTAGGAAAGATGTGAGGGGATTAATGAAAGAGAAGGGCTGTTCTGGTAAAGTATGTTTATGCAAACTTAGCATTGACTTCTCTTCCATCTCTGGTGAGAAGAGAGCTCTTCTCTTCCTGGCACAGGGGTGGGGAGGCATGTGTCCCAAAGTGAAAGTCATGCTCTGCTTGTAGCCAGGTAAGGGGAGGGCAGAGATCTCTTCCTGAATCTGTTGATTCTCAGTTGCCTTCAGCTCAAAGGAATCCTTAACCAGAGTGGCATATTTTGGGGGACGTATTCTGATCCCCTTCGATATAAAACAGAATCCTTAAAATTTAAATCAGACAGTTGGCTAAAATCCTATGTTAACCTGAAGTCGCTTCATCTTTCCAATGCTTAGGAAGTGAGATACTAGCTGAGGGGAGGCGAGTTGAGGCAGGGCAGAGATTGGTTTGGAAGGTGGGGCAGATGTCAGTTCTGGCTGTGGCAGTCTGGGAACCATAGAAGTGGGTTACTCTCTTCGTAACGTTATCTGAACTGAATCTTCCTTTTTTCTCCTGTTAGGTATTTACATAGGCCTCAGTTTTTCTGGATTTTGGAATTACAGTGATACCACGTGGTATAACCTGACAGATACGATCTATTCCCAAGTTGGAGAAGGTAATTCCTCTAATGGTGACTTCATCTTCAGGATCCCATAGATAGCAATACTTGATCAGTATGAATGAAATGAAATGTCTGTGCTGAGGAGCTCACCTTTTCCTTCCTTTTTAACCTGGTGTGATTTCTCCCCTTAGAACACACAAAGCTTTCAGTGGTGGATATGGTTTTAACCAATCACTTTTTAGTTATCCTCACCTCTCTGGGTCTTTTTGTAAGTGGAGATCTCCGTTATCCATCATCCTCTGTCTTAACGGTATGTGAATTGCTTTTAAATACGTTCCTAGTTCGGGGCTCCTGGGTGGCTCAGTCAGTTGAGCGTCCGACTTCGGCTCAGATCATGATCTTGCGGTTTGTGAGTTTGAGCCCCACGTTGGGCTCTATGCTGACAGCTCGCAGCTCGGAGCCTGGAGCCTGCTTCGGATTCTGTGTCTCCTCCTCTCTCTGCCCCTCCCCTGCTCATGCTCTGTCTCTTAATAATAAATAAACGTTAAAAAAAAATAAATAAATACATCCCTAGTTCAGAAATACAATCGTAGTCATTAATTTAAAAACTGTAAGAGGAAAATTAAAAATTCCAACTGGAAGAAACTATGTTTAATTTACTTTACCATTTGTGACTTAAAAAAAAATAATAGAAGAAGTATTTGCTAATGCCTCATGAGAACCTAGTAAAAGAAGATATAATACACTCCAAATACTTTGATCTCACCTTTTATCTACATAAAGTAGACATACTTGATACTTGAGCTATGTGTGGTGTGTCTTAGAATTTAAATGCTTCTTCCTTTTAGAAAATGTAAAAGCAGAATACAATGGCTTTTTCCCTTGCCTCATAGTGTTGACCATATCCTTTGGAAATGGTGCTAATTTTATTGCCACACAAGTTTATGTTTTAAACATGCACATATAGAAGATTATTTATCTATTTATAGCTATGTGTGTTCCCCAAATACTTTATGGTAATTTATACAGCTAAATATAGTATTACAAATGAGCATGAGTCAAAAAGTTAGCACTGGGATTGAGTGCAGGGGCATATACATTTTGGTGAGGATACACAATACATATACCATGAAATTCTCAAACATGTCAATAAACATCTCTCAAAAACTACCACAACAGAAATAAGAGCAGTGATAGAGATTTTGAAACAGTGGAAAAAAAGATGAGAGAGTATAGAAGGGGTGATTGCTTTGGTTGAGAAGCAGGTATTTCTTACATGTGGGGATTATGAATATTCACAGCCTTCCCTCCTTCCTCACCATTTCTGAGGAAGTACCATTTGTTGCTCAAACAACCAACAGATCTGACCTTTTATGTGCTTACCATGGAATTGTTGGAGACTTGAAGAAGCCAGGCACAGTGACTTAACAGTCCAAAACATGGAGGATTGGGCACAGGTTGTACAGTGAGGGCTGGCCCTGGGTGAGGCAGGAGAAACAGGGGACCATGGAGAAAATATATGTTAAGGGATTTCCTAATCCCAGTGGGTGGCAGATTTAGTACCTTTCTGTACCCTTCTAAACTCTTCCGTTTAAATCATTACGTGATTTAAAAAACAAAAACAGGGGCGCCTGGGTGGCGCAGTCGGTTAAGCATCCGACTTCAGCTCAGGTCACGATCTTGCGGTCCGTGAGTTCGAGCCCCGCGTCGGGCTCTGGGCTGATGGCTCAGAGGCTGGAGCCTGCTTCCGATTCTGTGTCTCCCTCTCTCTCTGCCCCTCCCCCCTTCATGCTCTGTCTCTCTCTGTCTCAAAAATAAATAAACGTTAAAAAAAAATTTAAAAAAAACAAAAACAAAAAAAACTCAGATCCTTTCTGTAATTAAGTCCAAGTACAAATAAATCAATAAAACAGTGAAACAAAGCAAAGACCAGAGAGGAAATCTCCAGGATATTATTTAAACTA